AAATGAAGTTAAAAGAAATTCTTTCTGTTTGTATTTCTTTTAATTTTATTTTGGTAAATTATTTTCATGAAACAAAAAAACATTTGATTTTTTTTCATTCTCAAAAAAGTCACAAGATAAATGTGAATCTTTAAAAGAATATTTGTAGTTGGCACTTATATTTATATAGTTGAAGGAAATGCTTTCATTACTTTTTTTTAAATTTTCATTTTTTTTAAATAATTTTTCAATAACTATTTTCATGAAACAAAAATATTTGAAACATGTCATGGTTTATTCAATGATAAACAGGTTGGATTGATTTTAGTTGATCAGTTGGATGCCAAGCTTATACCCTATAGAACAGGACTTGATGAGGATAAAATACAGACTGTTACCATCACAAGCAGACTTTGTTGACTAACTATGAATGTCTTGAAAAAAGATGCTGTAATCCATTTAAAAATCATAAAATGCAAATCAAAGGTGGTTTGAGACCAATTTCATTGGAGATGGCAGACAAGGCAAAGGCTAAGTTGGTGTTAATCCCAGGCAAGAAACTCTGCCCTAATTGTTGAATATTAAAGGTTGACTGTTAAATGATGAGGCTTTAAAAATCAAAAAGGAGATTTTAGATAAAGCTAATACTTTGATAAAATGATAGAGCTGCTTGTAGCAAAAGTGAAGACAGTGGAATCAACTAAAATTAAAATACAGATCTTGACACTTGACCCTACCAACTAATCACACAAAAAAGTCATGAATGTGTTTGGTGTTTCAGAACACATTGTATGCAAGGCTTGCAAATTGTGTTTGGAAAAAGGTATTTTACCTGTGCCAGAACCAAAAGGGGCAAGTCTTTTCCTGCTGATATTGCACAGTTAGTGGAAGCATTTTACCAAGATGTTGAATATACTCGTCTGGTGCCAGGCAGGAAAGACTACATTCATCAGAAAAGACTCATCTTGTGCAACCTAAATGAGCTCTTCAGAGCGTTCAAGGAACAGAACCCAACAGTACCTTTGGGATTTTCAAAATTTTGTAGTCTAAGGCTGAAATGGTATGTCCTTGTTGGTAGTGCAGGTACGCATGTTGTATGTATATGCACTATCCACCAAAATATGAAATTATTACTGGAACCACTGAATGTATCATATAAAGATCTCTGCAAATGTCTGTAATACCAGTAGCAGAGAGTGTATGATTCATAGGTGCCCAAATTGTCCTAAATCATCAGGGCAGCTTGAAAAATTTCTTTGACACCATGGAAGGATATATTGATAATGCTGAATCAATAGAGTTCTCCCAATGAACAACTGACCGATCGACTTTGACAACACAAAAGGAATCCTGTCAAGCTTACATTGATTTAGTTGTTTTGCAACTGAATAAATTAGCACCTCATTCTTACTTGGCTAAATCACAATCAAGGTAATTAAAGCAAAGAAAAGAGGAGATTAGTGATAGTGAAATTTTGTTCCTGGGAGATTTTGCTGAGAACTACAAATTTATAGTTCAAGATGAGATCCAAAGTTATCATTGGAATACTTCACAATGTACTTTACATCCAGTTGTACTCTACTTTAAGCTTGAAAATGCAATGCAAAGTGAATGTTTCTGCATTGAGTGACAACTCACATGATGTAGCATTTGTTTATATGGTACAGAAAAAAATTGAGGTAATCAAAGCTACCTTGCCAAACATAAAAAATATTGAGTATTTTACTGATGGTTGTGCAGCGCAATACAAGAATTATAAGAACTTTGCCAATTTGTGCAACCATCAGAATGATTTTGGGCTCAATGCAAAATGGAATTTCTTTGCAACAAGTCATGGTAAACAACCGTGTGATGGCATAGGTGGGACAGCGAAAAGGATAGTGTTAAAAGAAAGTCTCCGAAGACCAACTACCAAACAAATCTTTTCCACAGAATCTGTTTGAATATTGTAAATCTGCAATTGTAGGTATCAAATTCATTCTGGTTGAAAAGGAAGAAGTTGAGGAAGTGAGGAGGAGTCTGACCATGAGATTCGAAAATGCATCCACAGTCCCAGGAACAAGAAGTTTTCATCAATTTATTCCACTCACCAGAGATAAAATAGCTATGAAACAATGTAGCGAAGATGAAAACTATGACCTAATATATGACTTTTCTATTGGGACTGAAGAAAAACCAGTAAATTCTTTTGTTTCAGGATATGTTTATTGCAAGTGCAACAATAAAATTTGGATTGGCTTGGTCCAGGAAATTGATATGGAGAATAAGGACTTGCAGATTAAGTCCATGCACCTAGCTCTTCCATCACATTCATTTTACTGGAAAAAAAATTTTAAGGATATATGTTTTGTACCATTAATGAATATTCTGTGCACTGTTGATGTTCCTACAACAATAAATGGTAGTTTATCATTTGTGCAAGATGGATAAATTATCTTTGCAAAAAATTATATCCAAAACAATTTAGTCTATATGCACAACAAAATTTAGTGCATGGTGTAGTTTAAATGTAATCTTTTAAAGACTCTTTGTATATTCATTTTTATTACGATTTTCTTCTGAATGAAACAAAATTCAAATATTTATGTTTCATGAAAATAATTTTGAAAAATTATTTAAAAAATGAAAATTTAAAAAAAGTAATGAAAGCATTTCCTTCAATTATATAAATATAAGTGCCAACTACAAATATTCTTTTAGTGACTTTTTTGAGAATGAAAAAAATCAAATGTTTTTTGTTTCATGAAAATAATTTACCAAAATAAAATTAAAAGAAATACAAACAGAAAGAATTTTTAACTTCATTTGTTAAGTGCCATTTAGAAATTTTCTATGCACTGTTGATCATCATACATGAGGCAATGTTTATCGCTTTTTTAAAGACAATCTATCTGTACAAAAAATAATATCTGCAAAATATATTTAAATAATTTTTTTTTTTTTTAATTAATAAAAACAATCTTATTGAATAGCTTAAGAAGTTACTTAGCACAATATCAACATTTTAGAGGTCATGGAGCATTAGGATGATTCTTTAATTATAATTTTTCTCAGAAATCCTGCACATACGTAGGAAAAAAACTCTAAACTTGGCAGGGTCATATCTTCTAAAGTAGACATAAAACCCTCACAAATCTTTTTGGTGAACTTGAGCAGGCATTGTAGATGTTAGGCAAAAAATATTATGAAAATTGAAGAGGACATATTTTTGATAGACTGACCGTAAGCTACATAGGTGAAAAGTTGTTGATTTTGGGGTCATATATTAGGATGAGCAAAATAAAATTTTCTATCAAGTGTAGGTTTGAAATAGTTAAATATTTGGATTCTACACTTCTTATTTAGCCTACATACCAAATTTCATAAATATTGAAGGTATGGAAGTATTTTTCTTTAATTTTTAAAAAACACTGAAATTTGGCGACGTTGTGTGGCCTTAATTTAGAGGAATTTATTAAAATTATACCCCCCCCCTTAAAATTGGAACGGTAAAGTCTAGCACAAAATAATTTGGCACACTTTCCTAACTCATGAAGGGGAACATTTGTGCCAAATTTCAATTCGGTGTCGGTGGGTGCAGATTTCAACTTTTTGCAGGTGTTTTGACATGGAATGACCCCCTATAAATATAAAATAAAGCAATAAATAAATTTATTTTTGTGAGTGGAAAATAAAATGTAAGATGAAAAAAGAAATAAATGTCTGATTCCTTCCCCCTGTTGTAAACACAAAAAGGAAATTGAGTTTGTTTTAATTTGATGTTGGCACCACCTACTTTCAGAATGAAGGATACATATATATTCAAGGAGTACAAAACTTACATTTGTCTTTTCCTTTAATTTGCTAGGGTAGGTCGGAATATAGCAAGAAAATCTTTATCCATAGTATTTTCTGCAAGCCAGCTGAATTTATGACGTCAAGAAGATTTAAAGAAAACAGAAAAACCATATAAATTTGCCAAGAGAAATCTTCCTGCATTTGAAAAGGCAAGCAAGGTTCAGCCAGATTTTGATTCTTCTCTCCAACAGAATAGAAAAGATTTTCAACAAAACATATTCAAAAGAAAATATATTTGGTTCATGAAGAATATTTCTCAGATCTTGCTTATTTATATACACACGGAACACTTTGCAAACATAAATATTCAAGTTTCATACTGACTGAAAACTTTTGAATGGCAGCAAAAAAACTTTGACATGCAGATCTATAAAATGTCCTTCAGAGAGATCATGCCTCAAATCTATAAAATGTCCTTCAGAGAGATCATGCCTCAAATCTATAAAATGTCCTTCAGAGAGATCATGCCTCAAATCTATAAAATGTCCTTCAGAGAGATCATGCCTCAAATCTATAAAATGTCCTTCAGAGAGATCATGCCTCAAATCTATAAAATGTCCTTCAGAGAGATCATGCCTCAAATCTATCTCTGACAAAGTGCAAAGAATGCATAAGCTGGAGTATAATAAAAGCAACAAAGGTGAGGTTGCTAGTTTGAATAATGATAATGCCTAATTTTAAAATTTTCAGGTAATATGAAATTAAAAATAAAATAGGTAAATATGAAAAAAAATTAACAAAACCACCCACGTTTAATCTGATATTTATTCACTATTTATATTATTCGGGCTATTGTCCTCATCTTTGTTGCCATATTTATCACAATGTTTCGGCCGTTCTACGCTCTGGCCTTCTTCAGGTGGTTGGAATGTCGAACTGAACCCTTTATTTCGCTTGCTGGGGTAGACTGTTCTAGTTCCACGACATGTCTAAATATGACAACAAAGATGAGGACAATAGTCCGAATAATGTAAATAGTGTACATAATACCTCATCTCAGAAATATAGATATTTGCTAGCATATTTTTCATAGTTCTCTTCATCTACGTTTTTATCATTTAGAGTTTGATCTGTATATAAATTATATTTACCTGAATGAATGTCTTTGATTCTAAAATTTTTATTGATACAGCCATTTTTTCTCTCTCTCTCTCTAAGTCTAGAATAAGTTCTCATTTTTAAACATGACAACTGCAGCTCGTCCAACATTTGAACCAGCTCGTGGTGGCCGTGGGAAAGGAGAAAATGACCTCAGTGCTCTGTCCAAACAATATTCCAGTCGAGATTTACCATCTCATAATAAACTTAAATACAGGTGAGGCACTTTCATTGGTTAATTATGAACTAATACATTTTTGTCTTTTAATATTAGTAGAAATATCACCTTAATTAAATATTTATATATGAACATATTCTATTATCAAGATTACTTGTTTTAAAATTGAATACAAACAATTCAATTTTAGTAAAAAGAAAAATTTTTAATGTTTAACACTGTCTAATAGCTAAATGCATACAATTTGATAATTCTCAGTTTGTGATGGATGAAATATTTTGTGGAGAGTAGGGGCTATGCTTCTAAATTTTATCACCAAGTATGTTCAAGCGCACTGGATTATTTCTTAGTTTTATTGTTGAATATACACAGACTAGTGTATCCATGCCATCAAAAATTACAGCAAGAAGAATGTATTGTAAGTAATTTTTGTTTAATCTCAGTACAATTTCCTAATTTAGCCTAATAGCTCCTTGTTAATATTAATAATTGAACAATGTACAATTTATAATCACCTCAGGAAAAATATCCGTATTTTAGCCTCATTTTGTACGTGCTTTTGTAACACACCTTGGGTGTTCTTAAGAGTCAAATTTGCTGAGAAATTCGAACATCATCGCTAGTGATAGTTGATCCCACAATCCAATACACCTCAAAGAAAAGTAACTTTATGTGAAGTTTAAGTTGAGCTGAAATAAAACTTGGCCAAGGTTTATATTTTATCTGACATATATTTATCTCCTTTCTATTTCCCCTCTCTCTCTTTTTTCTTTCATTCTTTCTTTGTAGTTGTGTATCTGTTTCCTGTTGTGGCTACTTTCCATCACTCCTTTTGTTTTGATCATAGTTTGCAGAGAGAGGAAAAGAAGGGAATTGCTTTGTAGTTTGTCAGCACGGTAGTTTTTTGCATGTGGGTGTGAATGAATGGGGTTATGACTTCTGTGCATCTCATATCAAAATTTTACACACTGCCTCTCAATTGTTACACACACAAAAAAACTATTGGGTTGGTGCATAATTATCAGGCCTTTTAAATAGTATTTATTATGAAAAAAGAAACTTAACAATTCAACAATAACATAAAATTATTCTGGAATGTATGATTATCAACACACATTTTTATAATCTGAAAATAAAATATTTTTATTAAAGAAGTAAACAAAACAGCAATTTTTATTAAATAACTCTCCTACAAAAACATGCACCAACCCAATATATGTATATATGTGAATATGGATTCTTTAAGGATATTTTTTCATTCTTTTTATATGAAAAAAATATCCTATTATATTTCCTTCTATCTGCTGGAAATAATTATTTAACACAACTTAAAATAGTGTAAAAAAAAAAAAATATAGAAAGGATAGTAATCCCTTTTAATGTTTCATTGAAATACTTTTATTGAATATATTTTATTAATAATTACATTTGTACTGGCGTATGGCCCACAGAGCTGAATCCTTTCCAACACACACTTGACATAAGGTATACATAATGTGGCAGTTTTCCAATTCTCCTCATCAATCCTGTTTTTATCTATAGAAACTGATTTTATGTTTGCAAGGTAGTTGTTATTCTGAAGGTTGAATTTGATTTTGATCATTTCTTTTTAATGTGTTCTGGGTTGTCATTTATTCTTTTGTACAGTATTGTAGGTATTGGACAATTCCCATCTTTATGCTTTATGGACAATGTAAATTGAAGTTGACTATATATCTCAACAGAATACCCACAAATCTTGGTGAGACTAGATATGTAGCAGCATAGTGCAACATTGAATGAGCTGTCTATGCTTATTCATTGCAGAGTAATCCTTGTTATTAGGATTTTTTTTTTTGCGTTGTGCAAAATCCAGCTGCTCACTTAAAAAAAAGAACCAAAATATTTCCATGTTTTATGCCAGGAACACAAATGCTATACAATCTCGGACAGTTAACTTTTTAAAATCTCATTCACATGCAAATTATGGTCCTATTTGTTTAAAAGCGGTTTTTTTTTTTTTTTTTCCGTGGCTTATTTTATTATTATTTTGATTTTTTTTTTTTTTTTTTTTTTTTTAACAAGCTATTTCAGCAATGAACAAGTTAGATCTAAAATTGATCTCAGCATTCGACGGCTCCCCCACAGGCCCAACTGTCGTTGAATTGTTTGAGAAGACCGAATGTGTTTGCAGGGTGTCCATCCCACTGAGACTCACGAGGGGAGCCTACGCCATATATCGACAACTTTGGGACAATGCTGACCTAGAGGAGACCAAGAGTGCCCTATATACAGCTTTTGGAATAGACCCCTTCATCGCTTGGAAACAGTTCGTCAGACAACGGCTCTAGCCGGGTAACAGGTAGATGTCTACCAGGCTGATTTGCGAAGGCTGGCGGTGCCATTTGACGGAGCAATGGACCGCATACTGGGATGCACCTTCCTGGCTCAGGACTTCCGGCGACACCAGTATATTTTTTCCGTCTTCAAGACAAAACACACTGGGAATCTGAATTGCTATTGGGCCCAAAACATCATGAAAGACATGGAACAGGTCCGGCAGCCGTGAGAACATCTGAGACACCTGTGGAGGGCCTATAAGTGCTACATGGTAATTGGACCAAACCATTTCTCTTAGAGACTGCTTTATGAATTTAGTGACACAGGAGGCGGAGTGGCCATCATTTGACAGTTGAAATACTATGCTGCTAAACTGCAAGTTATAGTAATAGGCCATGCAGCACAGGATTGCTCGGGGAAGCTCTTCTGGGGACAAGGTTCTGTTACAATGATTGCCCCCTCTCGGTCAGTAAATGCATCTTTGCCTGTTGTCAACGTGAGTGTTGAGGGTAAACGGTGCTCAGCGCTCGTCGACACTGGATGTTCCCAATCGATCGTCAGCATTGATCGATGCGTGACATGGAGCAGTCAATAAATCGAGATTCGGACGATTGATGGAGTGTCCCGGGCCTGTTGTGGTGTCGGGACTGTCAATCCTCACTGATCATGCCAAGGTTGACATTTTGGAATGTAAAATTCTTGAGTTATATATTTATGACCTGCTGCTTGGGATCAATATGATCCAAGTGTTAGGAGGCATGATAATGGCGCCAGCTGGAGATTTTGTAAACTGTGTAAGGAAGAAACCTTGTGTGTGCAGCCATTTGCATTGGTGAGCTGGATTTTGGCGTCTCCTTCAATTTCATCGAGAGGTGTGGACCGCCAGGTGGAAATGGGCCCAAAAGACCCACCAGTTCATAGCAAACATCTTGTGGATGGTACAAAGTGCCCATTGCATCAGAGGAAAATCCAAGCCAAAGCTCTTCAACAGTGGATTGCAAACAGTTGGTTGATTCTGGCCCCAGGAAAGACTGGGACCCCCAAATCCCTTGATGGCAGTCGTGCAGGAGCAGAAACAGAATGTCGTCCGGTACTCGATTACCGCGAATTGAACGACTTTGTGGATGCTTTCACTGCTGATGCAGAAGTGTGCGCACAGAAGCTGAGAGCATGGCAGCAGCAAGGATTCGATGTGTTGCTTCTGGATCTGCAAAACGCATATCTTCAGATTCACATCGATGAAGTGCTGTGGCCATTTCAAATGGTTATTTTCAAGGGCCAACGCTTCTGTCTTATGTGACTAGGATTTGGGCTAAATGTGGCGCCACTCATTATGAAATCCGTTATAGACGCCATCACATCGCAAGACCACACAATTGAAAGTGCCACATGACATTTTCATCAATGAAAGTCTGGTCTATGCATCGCGTGTACAACACCACTTTTTGGATTACGGTTTGGTGTGCAAGCATCCAGTGCAGCTGAGAGATGAAGCAAGAGTACCTGGTTTGCAAGTCTGGGAAGAGAATGGCACCCTCCAATGGAAACGAGGAAGTCAAATTCCAGAAGTCCCTGATGTGTTGACCCGTCAGCGCGTATTTTCGTTGTGTGGGAAACTTGTTGGACATTTCCCCGTGTGTGGATGGCTCAGGGTAGCAGTTGCATTCGTCAAGCGCCTGGCAACCGCAGCAACCAATGGATGGGATGATAAAATCAAAGATCCCTCTCTCTGTCGCATACTAGCGGAGATGCTAAGTAGGGTACGGGAACTGGATCCCGTTGGCAGAGACTGGTGCATGGGTGGTGATGAGATCACAGTCTGGGTGGATGCGAGTTCCGTGGCAACAGGAGTGACATTGGAAGCAAACGGAAATGTCATCAAAGATGCCAGGCATATTAAGTTAGCTGAACTCGATGCGGCACTTAAAGGAGTCAATCTAGCCCTCCAGTGGGAGGTGACAACATTGCACTTGGTTACTGATTCAGCGTTTGTGCACCGGTGGATTTCCAACACCTTGACCGGGAAGGCACGGATGAATACAAGGGCATCTGGCGTGATGCTGGTTAGGCGATGGCTGGGCACTATGCGATCGCTGGTGGGAGAATATGGATTGACCATAGATGTGACACTCGTACAGTCCTGTCAGAACCATGCGGATTGCTTCACCAGAGTACCGCACAGGTGGCTGGATCTGCTCAAGAGAGGAGAACCAGCACTTGAGAGCTGCGCAATGGTAGGGAGACGACTGGACGAGGACCAGGTGGCCAATACCCATCGTCAAAACGGACATCTGGGCATAAAACGAACTCTGTACTTTGCCAGATTAGTCGACCCGCAAGTGTCCAGAGAAAGCATTAAATCCATTGTGAAGGCCTGCACAACCTGTCAGTTGATCGATCTGGCACCTGTTCACTGGGAAAGAGGAGAATTGAGTGTGAGGAGCAACTGGAGCAGACTAGCGATGGATAGAACTCACCACAATGGTCAGAATTTTCTAATACTTATTGATTGCGGTCCCTCTAGGTTTGCAGTATGGCGGCCGCTGTGCCGACAAGATGCGAGCACTGTCATTCGACTGTTGGAGAATGTTTTCCTGGAGCAAGGCCCACCTATGGAAATACTGACAACCAGTAAAGACTTTAAAATTTTGCGGACAATTGGGACGTGCATCTGCAGTTTTGATGTGCTTACTCTCCGAGTGGAAACGGCATCGTAGAGT